GTTCTTTCGTGAATTTTCGGTGTCTCAAGACCAGTTTCGTCATCCTACAATATTGTATGTCGGTTAACAGTCAATGATGAAACTAATAGCTTACCTTGTAAGATCTTGTGTAAGTAGATCAGCTTAGAAAATGAAACTTTTATATTATTTGTTAGAAGCTAGTTGAGTTATCACATATAGTTTCTTAACACCCATTAATTTGATGACTAAGAGAACAAGGTAGATTTAGAAAAAAATTAACCTTCGACTTAAGACAGGGTCTGTGTTGTGAAACGTTCAGTGGTTATTTATCGATCTGAGAATCTAAGATCACTTGGGAAAGTCATAACACATCATTCTTTCGTAGCTTGTACAAAGAGCACGTTGAAAGTGAATATGAATTAATTTAGTGAAAACTTAGATTGTTTCTCCTCAGTCATATTTCATAATTGGATTTTTAGAATCAGTTATTTGATTCTGCCTTATCGAGATGCAATAAGGCTTATTGAAAAATAATTAATAAATTATAATTTAATTAAAAATAATTCATAGTGATTTTTATTGTCAAACTTATTCATAATAATCGATAGTGCTGAGAAAGATATTAGGCATAGACAGTTTTAACATTTTATTATAAAATAAATCACTTATTTATGTTACATTTGTATACGTAAAGATGCATAGGTCGTGTGTCTAATATTAATTTATAATATTTTGTGAATTTTGATCATGGCGGAAAATATTGAGTACGATTCCGAGACTGAAAGAGAGCCTTAAAATATAGATCTTAAACGTTCTTAATATCAAACCTCGAATTTTTAACAAAGAAGGGGGTTATGACAGATTTAATTTAGACTTAATTTAGCTGGAAGTTAAAAATTACGAAGAATACGAAACTTTTGCGTTTAATTGTAAGCTGGCTTTAATCCAGTTCAAGTGAAAGAAATACTTGCAGGCAGAATGTGTAATAAGACAATACACGTACCAAATTAGAAAAATTCAATGCTATATACTAATATCATTTGTAAATTACGTAATTCATAGATTTCAGATTTATAGTATGCTCTTTTTTATTTTGTTAGCACTGGAACTACTGACCCGTAATGCGTATCTAAATATAGTATATATATATATATATATATATATATATAATAACGATTAAAATAAAAGTAAGAAGGTACACGTAATAACGTACACATTTCAACAAAATAGGATAACGAAAAATTGAAATTCATCACGAGTAATTAGAAAAATAAAATATTTGGAACCACTCGTTTTCACTCGTTTGGTAGTTCTAGCGTTAATCGACGTATTCAACAGAGTACCTTATACTTAATTACATCTGCATTCGGAAAAACCTATCGATGCATAAAAAAAAAAATATTTATATTTAAAATTTCGATATTTTCATAATTTCGTATGAACGAGTATAACTAGCTTAATCAAAACTAATCTTAAATCAATGAAACATTACCGAAATTATTTTAAACATATAATATATTCATTTGTATGCTTGTACATATCTCGCATTCTTTTATACAACAAAATATCTATGACAACAGTACAGTAGAGAACGGTATACAATATATAGTTGTATCAATAATTCATTCATAAATATGAGATGCAAGACAGCCTCGTTCTCTTAAGACATAACATTATCGGGTCGTGATTGCATAAAATACATATAAGTATGTACTCTTCTTGATTACTCTGATGTCCAGTCTTTCGGTAGAACTTTTGCATCGGTTTACTCCGCGTCTAGTGGATTCGATTCGTTTCTTTTTCTTTTTTTTCCTTTTTTTTTTCTTTAAATCGTTTGGAACTCGAAAACAAATATATATATATATTTATGTACATATATTGTTATTACTCGATATAATCCTTAATACCACGGTAAAGAATGGGTTTCTTTCTAATACTGTTAGACCTTTGTATTAGTGATCGATAAACAAGGTAGTCGATAAAACATAGAATCAATCGTGCGTGACTTTCATGACAGTTACACTTACGATTAGACATAAATCTCGTTTGTAAAGGAACATGACGATCTGTGCGATTTTCGCTCTTGAACGAAAGCGACGATAGAACTGCATACACTTCTTAAACAAGTACTTTCGGCTATAATACGAATTGTTGTAAAGTAGGCCAATCGGTTCGTGCTCCCTTCGTACATAAACTGGCGAACCGGCGAACCGGCGAACCGAGCGCTTTCGCAATTATCGTGGAGCGAGTTCGTTCGTTTAAATCTTTAACAAGAGAGAATATCCGTTAGTGAAAAAATATGCTATTTACATGTAAGGTATCTAGTTGTGCGTCGATTCATTAATTCGCCGTTGGAGTGTATCAAAATCTACTTAAAGGGATGAACGATTCATGCAGCCGTTATTTTCTTCTTTTTTTTTTCTTCGTTTTTCTTCTTCTTCGACGATTTCTTATTTTTTTTTGTTCATTTTCCGGTAAATCTTTTCCGTTCTAAATGTGATGGGGGGGGGGTGGGGGGGGATTCGAAGTAATTGTACTCTGATTGAAAATACGTAAAAAATGGCGTAAACCTCGAAAAAAATGCTATCCTTTTTTGTCCGCGGGAAATTCGAATTGCAAGCATCGTCGGCAGTTTTCTCGATAGATTATTAAGGATTAGAGATCAATCGTGTCCTATGTGTTCCTAGCGTGAAACAACTAATTACAATATAACGTGAATGTTTCTCTGTTAGATAACGAGTGCTTGATTGTTTAACGAGAGTGATGAGAACACGCAAAAATTGAATATTCGTGAGATTCGGTCGACCACTGGATACGGGCAGTGGAGAAGGTAAGAGACGCATAGAAAATAGTTCTCGTGGAGTAAAATCCAAACGTATACACAGGGTGTCTCGAGATTTTCCGATTCGGCTAAAAATTTCTTTCGCGTGCGACCTAGTTTCTCTCGTACTATACATATTATACACACGACACTGTCGTACCGAAATATCCCCGGTACTTTCTGTTCATTTTCAACTGTTTTTCCTTTTTCTCCCTCATTGTATCTATACGATCGGTTCTGTACATTTATCTAGATTTTGCTGCTTTAACCTTCAAATGCTAAATCGGTTTCTCGGAAATAGTCAACGGGCGACGGTGATAAACGAATTCGTATTTTTCTCCCATTCTTTTGTCGAACGTTTTCCCGTTACATTACGTTTCTTTACATTTTATTGTCGACAGATAATCAGAAGAACGCAGGAAGTAACGCATATAGGTACGTGATAAAGTTCGTACGTCTAATGTTGAACGATGGTTGAGGCAAACTCAGTGCCATTTAGCATTTCAAGGTTACGAATGGTGCCAAAATCACACGAGTATCCTTGTTTCTTTTTCTCTCTTTTTTTTTTTCGGTTTATAAAGGCCAGCACAAATTTGGCATTAACATATTTTTTATGCATCTAGATACCTTTTTTAATACATCCGATCACACAGAGCACACAATTCTCTTACGCTAATATGTACATACCATACAAAGCATCACAAGATTACATACATAGATTTATACACTTTTTCATAATAAAATATCCGATTCTCTATTATGCTACTTCACATGGAGAATGATCAGCTCCACGCGAGACATGTCCCGCGCATCCAGCGTTCTGCGACAATACAAATACATGACACACACGGTACATCAATTTTTCGCGATTAATCCGAGGGACATATATAATCCTCGCAATATGTTCCTTTAACCGGGGCCAAATCTTTTCTGCTATATTTTCGTTTCCGCGAAACTAGAATTCTGCCTGACAAAAACCTGGCCCATATAACCTGTTAAACTTCTCCAATGTTGATATGCTACTTATATTTACCGACTGTCCGCACAATCATTTCCGGCATTTTTTTCTGTGATTACTTGATTAATACTAACGCGATTTAACGTCGATTCCTTGATTTTTATTTTATTTACAGCAGATCACACTATCTTTTACAGGAGCAGCCAAGTTTCTTCGAAAAGTGTGGATTTTCAATGATCGTCATCGATTATATTACATATAATGTAAGTCGTTAATTTCTTTCTTTAGTAACTGTACAATTGACATTTACCGCTACAAAAATTTTGTATCAATAAAATAATCATGTAAATATCTTGTAACTTTATACTTGTATATATACAGTAAATGTTAACTGAATAAAAATCTTACATACTCTAGCACAGGCCAAAATATTATTCTGTATTACTGATCGTATTACGATTACACTCCCCTTTATATAGAGCATACGGCTGATTTTCTGAAGTACGTTAAGTAGCATTTTTTTGTCTTTTGTCAAATTTTCAGCATTCCGTTGAATTACTGTACTGGATGGATCAGGAATGGGGCTTGGGTATCACGTGGAGATGACTACTGTCACTCCTTGTAATAAAGTATAGTATATTTGGGAGACTAAAGTGTCAACGTCAGTAGGCGTACGTCGTTAGCCCCTTTTTCATCCCGGAAAACGTTGGGTTACCGACTACCCTAGGAACAACGTTGCCTCTTTTCTCGCTATAATCTTTCTCTTTATATATAATAAATCCAATCTGCACGCACTGCGTGTATAGTAAATAAATACTTTCGAAAGTGCGTATAAATCGGTGTATAATGTGTTACATATAAACAATTCGGCTCTGTTTCGATTCATCGAAAGATTCTTTCCAACGGGCTAGTTTGATTGCGTGAACTTTGCTTTCGGGTTAACAGCTTTTCTGTTTTGCCAGGAAATCGAGTGGCCCTGCGTTCATCGAAGGACAGTCGACTTTCAGCCGATGAAAATAATCTTTTGACGTGTACGACGGAAATGGGTCAGTTTTGATCTGCGAATTATGTATACCTAACTAAGTGGTAAATAAATGATTCAGTTATCTCGCGAACAGTAACGGATACCTTACCTTTTTCCAGGCTGCATCGTGCGAGCACGAAGGTATCATGTATTGACCAGCACCATGAAAAATGTAAGTATCGTTACAGAATGACCGGATGATAATTTCGCGTCATTCTTGTCCCATTCCCGATAAACATGGGGTTAACTCGTTTGAATGTTCAAATAATTTATAAGCCATCGATCAACGACATCTGCATTCTCTTTTACCCAATGTATATTGAACTTGATTGTTTCTAGGCTTTGTTCTAATGCTCGTCGACCACTTCCGACATCCACTTTCTTAAAGAACTCCGAGACCTACGACGTAACGTCAAAAATTATCCTTTCTTGTATAATTACCAATTGAATACAAATTCTTCTTAACCCTTTGACTACGGCAGACTTTGAAAAGCACCGGTAGTATCACACGGATAGGAATTCGTTTACAATGTCAGCCGAGAACGGCAAAATTTTGAATAGAGATGCACCCTCCGTGTCACAAAAGCAAACTGTGTTGAGCGCTTATATGCACCTTCCGTGTCACAAAAGTAAAATTTTTGAGCGCGTATACGAGTCCACAGTAGCCAAGGGGTTAAAGTTCTAGCAATCGAATCACATATTTACGATACGAAAAATTATTCCGAATGTTTTACTTGTTTCTTAACTCTTTGGGGCACGCTAGGATTAAAAGTGTCCCACCCTTTTGATGCACCGTAATGCACGGTGGGACATTTTCAGTCCCACCTGGAAATATTGCAATAGCTGCATGCGCATAGGTTTATATTTCGTCTTATTTACGTAAAGCAGTTGGTAATGCCTTCGACAAATTTTATAAACGTATTCGCTCGTGTTGGCAACGTTCAACATGCCAGTACAGGTTCATCAATTGTTGCAAGCGGAAGATTTATCGCGACAATCATTTTTTCCTGGTTTTATGTGAACAATCGTGAAAGTAAGTTAATTTTTATAAAAATTAGTTGTATATCAATTTTGTTTCATTTAAAACGCAATCAAATTTCTATGCAACATTGGTCTATTTTATTATATGAAATCCTGTGCCGCAAAGAGTTAATCGAGCACATGCATTCGTTTAGATTTGATTTAAACCAATCGATAGTTTGTATATCTCGAGTTTACAATACACTTCGTATACGGTAATAAGAAATTAAAGTAGATTTAATATTCGAATGAAAAATACTCTAAATTTATTCAATACTCCACTACTAATAGTGTGTTTATTAAATTTATTAAAGATATTAGACACACTATTGGTAGTGGAGTATTAGTCATACTTTAGTACATTATACTACATTAATCATACCAATAGTAAAATATTACGAATTTCAAATATTTTTAATTTTTATTTCTCACCACTCGAATATTGATTCTCACTTTATTCTTTATTAAATTTATTAAAGAAATTAAAGAATAAAGTGGGAATCAATATTCGAGTGGAGAGAAATAAAAATTAGAAATATTTGAAATTTATAATATTTGATGATAATATTATTAATGTATTATAATGTACTATAGTATGACTAATTTATAATAAGAAATTAAAGTAGATTTAATATTCGAATGAAAAACACTCTATATTTATTTAATACTTTACTGCAAATAGTGTGTTTAATATCTTTAATAAATTTAATAAAGAATAAAGTGAGAATCAATATTCGAGTGGAGAGAAATAGAAATTAGAAATATTTGAAATTTATAATATTTTATACTAATATGATCAATATAGTATAATGTACTATAGTATGGTTAATTTATAAAAAGAAATCAAAGTAGATTTAATATTCGAATGAAAAACACTCTATATTTATTTAATAGTCTACTGCCAATAGTGTGTTTAATATCTTTAATAAATTTAACAAAGAATAAAGTGAGAATCAATATTCGAGTGGAGAGAAATAGAAATTAGAAATATTTGAAATTCATAATATTTTATACTAATATGATCAATATAGTATAATGTACTATAGTATGGTTAATTTATAAAAAGAAATCAAAGTAGATTTAATATTCGAATGAAAAACACTCTATATTTATTTAATAGTCTACTGCCAATAGTGTGTTTAATATCTTTAATAAATTTAACAAAGAATAAAGTGAGAATCAATATTCGAGTGGAGAGAAATAGAAATTAGAAATATTTGAAATTCATAATATTTTATACTAATATGATCAATATAGTATAATGTACTATAGTATGGTTAATTTATAAAAAGAAATCAAAGTAGATTTAATATTCGAATGAAAAACACTCTATATTTATTTAATAGTCTACTGCCAATAGTGTGTTTAATATCTTTAATAAATTTAACAAAGAATAAAGTGAGAATCAATATTCGAGTGGAGAGAAATAGAAATTAGAAATATTTGAAATTCATAATATTTTATACTAATATGATCAATATAGTATAATGTACTATAGTATGGTTAATTTATAAAAAGAAATCAAAGTAGATTTAATATTCGAATGAAAAACACTCTATATTTATTTAATAGTCTACTGCCAATAGTGTGTTTAATATCTTTAATAAATTTAACAAAGAATAAAGTGAGAATCAATATTCGAGTGGAGAGAAATAGAAATTAGAAATATTTGAAATTCATAATATTTTATACTAATATGATCAATATAATATAATGTACTATAGTATGACTAATGTATTAATAAAAAATCAAAGTGAACTCGATGTTTGAGAATAAAAATGAAAATGAGTAGTTTATAAATGGTAGAAATATACTTAACGATAAGAAAAGGATATTTTCAATTTACCTCGTGGTAGTCATACTCCGTGAAGAAGTCAGAAACTACGACAGATATAAGTCCACCCATCGTCAGCGATCCGTTTCCAAAAAGAACGTGTATCTGAGGCCAATATGCTTTAAGATGACGCCACGCGAGGAATTGACCCTCGGAGTTAGTAGCGACAGAGGCTATAACGGTTTCAACGTCTTGTGATCTCACCATATCTCGGTTTAACGATCGTAAAAGGTAACGTTGTAGTAACCAAGAATCCGTCGTCGCTCCCAGTGCTTGCAACATTATTCGTTTCTCGCTTGGTATCTGAGTTTCTTGATAATTCCGCCAACAGTGGTTCCACTCCTTCTCGCCACCAAATTTGATTCCTGTGTAACAGGTGTTTATACAGTAAAACGAGTATGATCCAAACTTTGTTCATCGTTGTATGCACAATGTACACCCAATTCTGCTTTCACACGAACTTCTTTTACACTCGATTTTGATTTAACACGAATTAGGAAAAAAATTTAATTCTCTTTTTACACGACTTATTTTGATTTAACACGATCAACCCAAATTTTTGGCCTAGCCAAAACGCAAACACAACGATTAATTACCGAATTCGTTCTTAAATCCACTGAAACATCGGCACCACAGGAGGCTAGTCCTAATTTTGTTCGAGAGATTACAGAAAGAATTTCACCAATGGAGCACGAAGACGATAACCAAAACATTTCTAGCGATAGCAGTAATATTGCAGTCTTACGGAAATGTATGCGTTTATTGTCAGAAAGTGACAACGAATAAAATCTTTTTACGTGTAACTCATATTATTTTGCCTAATTTTTGTGTTCATGAATTAGTGACATGTTTCTTTCCTTTTCAAATGATAATTTACTTTGTACGATACACGTGCAATCTTTATGAAATAAAATGTTTAAGATCCTAACATGAAAACTCATGGTTTATTGTATTATTTTTGCTGATTTCTTCGGACTGGAACCAATCTTCAATTTTTCCATAGATGCAGTATATTCTTTTACACGAATTTTTTTACACTTATTCTTCGGGAACGTATCTATCGTGTGAAAACAGAATTAGTTGTATTTGATTCGTAGTACAAATGATGTTACCTGCAACATATATGACATCTCGTATATTTGGAGCGATGCGTTTGCCTTCTAACATCCAGTCCTCGAAAAGCGCTTTTGCTGGTTTCACGACATCGTCCAATTTTATGGATACCGCTGATTGAAGTACGGCAATCCTTAACAATCTGTGGAGAAGAAACATTAATTACAAATTGAAGATATTCGATCTATACAAATCTATGGTTCCTCTAATCTTTTCACGAATATACATATGCAACTTGTATTCTTCAAAAATGAATGGAACAGTATGAACTTCTACTTGCATTTGATTTTACTCGTATTTCTTTAACGTTAGAATCATTTATCGAGTCAGTTAAAATGATTGTATCTGAAGACTTCATTTTTATAATCACGAAAATCGTGCAGCTATTTTTGGCAAAATTAATTTGACTCTTATCGAGATAGAAACGTAATTATATAGACTTATTTATTTTTCTCTTAACAATTTAATTATTGTCATTTAAGCGTATTTCTATTCAGATGTATATTACAGTTTGATAGTTCCATTGTCAACGAGATATTCGATAATTATTATATAAATATATATTTAACATATTAATATTAAAATTTCCATTACCTTTCTTTTATATATATATTTTTTTATTATATAGACTGAAATAAATCTTACTTTTTCAGATGAGATCCCTCATCTGCCCAACCGACGTATTTGGTAACTGGAGTTAACAGCCGTTTCAAGAAAGTGATGTACCTTTTGTACCCAGGACTTTCGCTCAGTCTGTCTTTCCAAGAATGTAAATATCCGAGAGCCGTAGACCATGGCACGTAATCTCTCTCATTTAAAAGATAAAGAGATAATCCAAGAGGTACGGTAGCGTTCAACTCGCCTGCTTCGCAAAGCGTAAATGCATCGTCGATAAGATTAGCACGATCAGCTGGACTGAATTTGGTGTGATTGTTTAACAAAGTTGCAATGATCGATGACCACATGTCTTCTGGGTAAGTTACACGATAGAATCCACTTTGATTCACGTTGCATTTTATATATTCCACGTCGGCAGGTATATCGAACATTACTGAAAATATGTAGTACTTATTTCCCATGAGGCATAAATATAGTTTAATTATTATTAGCTAACAATTCATTCGTTCATAGAAATAGAAATTCAGCTGTAATATATTCCTTATATTTCAATTTAATGATACAGATCAATTATATTCTTAATTAAGGTGATTTTATGCGAGATTTAAGTAATTTAATATCTTTATTCTTTGTATATTTTGAATTATATTATTGCAAAATGAGGCTAATAAAACGAATGAAATTGCTGACTAATAATCACAATAAGATTCTAATTTTAACTTGTTTAATTCTCTATTCAAAAATCGCATGAAATTATCCACAATTGATTCTTTCCAACTGTATGTATCTCTAGAGTAATTTACTGTTTTATTATTTTTGTAGACGAATTTTATTATCTGTTTTGATTTTAGTTCTTTTCATTAGACTTGAAGGGAGAAAGAGGGAAGGTATTGAATTTTACATTCCGTAAGATACATCAGTGATTATAACTTTTGATGAAAGTAACAATAAAATAGCAAAGTGTAATTTGCACCTGAGGATCAAAGAATATATACTTTTGTAATTTTCATGATTAATATACATGATTTTGTAATTTTCATAACACTACAATATTTTCATATTTATCATAATCGTAATTTCCAACAAGGAATTTTAACAGGAAATACTATACATATATAAATCTTACTTTATGATCCCCCAAACGTCGAAATTATTCTCTTTAATTTTTAAGTTACAACATGAAATACAACTAGAAATTCAACTAGTGCATGATGTAGTTGGAGTTATCAGAAAGACCCTAAATTTAACGTAGCTTAAAATATTTTGTACGTTCATTTGTACACACAAGATATCCTCTTTAGTCCACTTTAGTTTGCATATTTACATGGGAGGTTCTAATCAGAAGTAGTGCTAATTAGTTAAACACGTGAAAGCAACGAAAATGCAAGAAACAAATTATTTTTGTAAATCACTCAAATCCAAGGCGCTAAATAAACATCGGTATGGACTATTTCGGTCTTGGTAAAGAATATTTGACAATTTTCAGTGCGTATTACGTAACAGTAGGCGAAGTAAAGATAAATATACATCTCAGTGACAGTGTTTAAACAGCAATTTTGTTTTGATAAATAACGATGAGTGGACGTTTAGCACGTGTTTGCTAAGATTTAAAATGTGGTATTCGAAGCGTAGAAGATTTCCATATTTTCTATGAAGAACGAAGAGACTAGTCCTTTTCTACGAACACATGATTTGTCATGTAAAGCTTTACAAGAAATAACGGACAAAGATAATGTTACTTCTATACAAAATTACATTATGCGTATAAAAATTTCCGTTTATAAAAATTACGTCGAAACGTTTCTCTTCCTCTTATGCTTTAATGCTAGTAGAAAAATGAAAATATCAATGGCTCTATTACATAAATGAGGCGACTTGAAAAATAATCAATTGTGGATAATTTCATATAATTTTGGAATGAATTTCTTGATAATTTCTCGCTTAATCGTGATAAGCAACTCTACAAAAATTTTCGTTATAATTGTCCTATATGTTACCATCGGTTAAATTCATCCATACGTTGTGAAGCTTGCGCGGTTCTTTGTCTGTGTAGTAGCTCAACGGGACATACCACTTGTAGTTAAAGGGTGATTTTGATTCTTGCAGTTCTGTATCGTTTTCTTTTGGTGAAATTAGAAATCTCTTCTGACTTGCTGTGACAGTATTCCCATTACGCGTAATCGTAATCAGAGGAAAACCCATTTGTTGGGTCCATGTGTCCATAATGGCCTGTCAACACGTTTAATTTAATGAAATATTAGAAATTACAAATAAAAACTAGACTTTCGATAAATAACTAGCTCTAGCTCATAATTTCGAAGCTAAACACGTCTACAATTTTGTAAAATTTATACAAATAATTATAAATTTTCCATTTAAATTTTAGACAGATATACACATGTAATATACTTCTTGAAAAGAAATCAAACAATTTTCTTATTTTTAAGGTTTCTTCTATTTATGCTTATATTTAAGTTAATTAACATAATATTATTCAAATTCTCAGCATTTAATGGGAATTTTATTTCATACATGTATGTTAAGATTATATCATACAAAGTCCTAAAAAGAAAAATGGGTTCAAGTCCTTGAGAGTTTATAGTACTGACTGAGAGGAGTAACTAATATTTAATTAATATTAACATTATTTTGATGAAAAATCGACTTATATTCTCTACAAATATTCGATACTCTGATTGAGTTCCTTCACGAAGCTTGGAGCATAAATTGATTTTCTTGCACAAATACTTAAAATGCATAGCTTACTTCGCACTCATAAATAACGTAGTGGAATTACGAGAACGAATAGAAATGAAACAGAAAGAATATTTGAAGATGTATGTCCATTAATGATCTGCAGATGTGAGTTTTACATTGGAACAAAAGGAAGACACACTGAAACTGTTCTACGATTATGACAGAGAAGATTTATATTAAATTTACATAGTAAAAATGATCTTTGCTGATAGTAGTATTAATCTTGTGTTGACAACCTTGAATGTACTTCTGAATCATTTTCTCTCTTAAACTTTTGCACTCCAGAGGAGCCTCTCAGTCGCCATTTAATTAGATTCTAAAGGTGGATGGTAATTAATATATCAAATTTACAATTACTCAACGGTGCGGGGAATATTGAAGCAAAATAATTTTACATCTTAATTTGCATACGATTTCTTATTTGCCCTTTTAAAAATATCGTCGACTTTATAGCAGAACGTTTTCGAATTACTATTTTTCTGTAACGAAAAACTCGCCGAGTGCAAAGGGTAACATATGATGCTTTGTAGAAAAACTCACACATGGTATCGAATATTTTTGAATAATTAAAGTAAATTTCTCGTCGAAAGGATTGAATGTAGGACTTATGTCAATTAGTCATTTCCTACTCATCTCAGCGAGTACTATAAGCTTTTAAAGTCGTGAATTCTTTCTTCTTAACACCCTGTATGTATATATTATATTTGTTATTTTTCATCCTATTGTGATATTTCATTTTTAGAAATGATGCTGAGTTGATTTTGAGATTCAAAAAATTATCCTATATAATGGAAACTCAAAATCTATCACATGTGTGTTGGAGTACATATTGCAATCAATTATGTAACAAAACAAGGTGATAAATAGTCAAATAAATGTCAAACATTTCTCTAATAGATTAATTTTGAGATTAATTCTGTTAGAGAAAAAATATTAATTTGAAACAATAAAAGCTATTCTAATACACGTGCAACTACATGTTTTCCTAAGATTATCGGTTGCAAATATTCGCTATTAAATCTTACTATTGCAACTGATTAATTTCAATGCTATTGACGTTTCTACTGTCCTTCTCCCGTGGATCAAAAGATAATAAAATATATCCGTCTAAAGTTATACCTACTTTCACATCAAAAGTATTATTTGCATGTTTTGTAAAGACCGCCCAGAGGTCGTTGGTGTCTGCATTTCCATACGCGTGCGAATTCAGATAATCGTTCAGTCCGCTTTTGAGAACATCTTCACACAAAAAGCCCTCAAGCATGTTGAGAATGGAAGCGCCCTTACTATAACTGATATCATCGAATATAGCTTCGATCTCGTTTGGATCTTTTACTGGCACGCTTATAGGATGACTGCTGGCTAAAGCATCGAGATTCAGAGCTGGTTGAGTTTTGTCTAAAATAAACTGATCCATCATGCTCCATTCTGGTGAGATGTGATTCACTCCTTTGTATTCGAAAAAACTAGCTGCTCCTTCGTTCAACCACAAATCATTCCACCATTTCATGGTAACCAAATTACCAAACCACTGATGAGCCAGTTCATGAGCAACAACTATAGCGACCCACTCGTGAGCACTGGTCGATGTTTCTTGTGGATCATAGAGTATTGACGTCTCTCGGTATGTGATTAGGCCCCAATTTTCCATTGCACCAGCGGCAAAGTCAGGAATAGCTATCAGGTCTACCAGAAATCGATAAAGTTTGCATGTTAAAGTGTGACATTAAAGTGTATAAGAAACTGCTTATTATATTGACAGAATTGATACTGTAACATATGTGCCTATAATTATGAAAGTGGTCCAAGTCATCGACTTAAGAGGATTTTATTATTTATTTCATGTTGCATTCATTTATATTACGATAAAATATATTTACTTTCTACAAAACAGTGGAGAATTGAATCGTTAGATTGAGTTTCTAGCTTTATCGCAATTAATTTTACAATTTATGACGTATTTAAAGGCCGAAGCTTTTAACCCTTTACATTCAACGATTTTTTAGCTAGAGAAGGGTAGAAATTCAAAGATTCTCTACTAAAATACTGACGATACCTTTTTGAACCTTTTTGAAGTAAATATAGAATTTTAGAATTATTTGATTTCGATACCTTGCACGCTATTATATTAAATTTGATATATTAATTAATATCGATCTTCCAAATTTTATGAAATGATGACTGAAGCTCTTGCACCTCTCGAATGCAAAGGGTTAATATTTCAGAAGCAAATACAAGTGACTTAGACCACTTTCATAATCACAGGCACATATGTAGTATCGTTGAGAGGATTAATTTAATTTAATTCTCGTTATTTTTGTAGTCTAATTTCGCTACCCACCTTGTTTAGGCAATGGATAGTGTACCCCGAAGAAAGATTCAAAGTAGTCCATTGTACGAGCAGCTGTAGTCACTGCATATTTCGCCTGTGGAAGCATTGCCTCTGCCGCATAAACACTCACGGAAATATTCCTCTTGGTTAATTTGGAAACTCGTTTAAAGTCGCACACCACGAAAGCCACCAAGTACGTCGACATTTCTACAGATTCTTGAAAATCGTCGCGAAGCTGAAAATTTGTTCAGTCCATGTAGTTACATATTAGACACATATACATAGACATAACAATGCAGCTTGATATTTTAACGCTAATAATCGTTTCAGTTTCTTTAATATTTTTATTACAAATTTATTACATTTAAATTTTAAATGTAATAAATCTTAAATATTAAATTTATTACAGATTTTTATTATAAATGAGCAATACCTAACTGTAATATCTTTAACAATAAGTTTGTAAATCAAATTGTATAACATTTAAATTTTAAATGTAATAAATTTTAAATATTAAATTTATTACAAATTTTTATTATAAATGAGCAATATCTAACTGTAATATCTTTAACAATAAGTTTGTAAATCAAGTTGTATAACATTTAAATTTTAAATATAATAAATTTTAAATATTAAATTTATTACAAATTTTTATTATAAATGAGCAATACCTAACTGTAATATCTTTAACAATAAGTTTGTAAATCAAATTGTATAACACTATTAATTCATTCCATGTTATATTACAATCATGTTCAGTGAAATCTGGGTCTAATATAAGACCAGAAACAATGTGATGAAAACATTTGTATCATACACGTTGTTTATGTTATATGGTGACAGTGTCATGAAAATTGTGATAGGAGGATTTTCGCGATTTTTATATTGAATTATTATTTATACTGAGTTATATAAGTATTACAAGATGAGTTATATGGGTGTTACAAGAGTATTGAGTTTATACAAGCAATATTTAATTAAACCATTTGACTCAGGTTTGAATGCTTCACGACTACTCCGAAAAATGGAATTATTTATTTTTCATGGAATTAAAAGTGCACGGATATTTTCAGAGCACACATACTGAAGTACTAGAAGCATGTTTTCATATGGCACAAAGAAAAACAGGCTAAAACTCGTAAATGCAGAGCAACGTCACATTTTTTGCACTGCTTTAACCTCACAACGGTATGATGAGCTTAATTAGCCAAACGAGGCAAATGGATTAATAGTTATATTATATAATACTGATTTAATGTTTCAGTATTATTTTAATTCAATATTAATCATTACATTTAAACCTAATTATTATACAATACAACTGACCCTCGTATAATGTGGATATTAAATTTCAGAAAAACGTGTTACATTATAAAAATGAAAAATTTATAAAAATCCTGTAATCTGAGATTCAAGTTAGGACAGAACACAAAATAGCTTTGCAATTAAGGTTTCAGAATTAGGTCTTAAAAATAATTTTCTGGAGGAAATAATTTATCTATTTATTTAAGAAAATATATATGGTACTGTAAAAAGCTTTTACCAAACTCTTTTGGTAAATATTTAGATTTATCAATACCAATGTGTGAATTCCCAAAATAAGTGGGTAATTAGCAAGCACGCATATATGAGACTATGCTAATCATACCAAAACAAGGAAAAGACATTTAAAAATGAACTGTAATTCAACCTCTTCCTCTCAATAAAACTAAGCCTAACAATTTGTATCGATAAGTCTCAACATTTACCAAAATGGTTTGATAAAAGTCTGAAATAGAAGTTTACAACTTTTTCCAGATTTTTACCACCTATCTGTGGTAAATGGATTTACAAATTTTCGAGCCTTTGCAGTTACACATATATTTATCTATTTTAGCCATGAGCGTGTATAATAATATATATGAAAAAATTAGAATATAATAAAATTGAAAATTGCAAAGGATCGATAATTTATATCTATCGAAATACATATAAATACCCTATGTTGTATAATAATTGTGTACAATTTATGAATAACTTTACATCGAATCCGCGTTATACAAAGGTCATTCGTATTGAAAATCGTTTAAACGATTCACAATTATATTATTTCTATACTCACAAGCCCTGTGCCCATGTAAAATCCCGCATCTTCTGTATTCATAACTGGCATATTGCATAATGCGATATGAAATCTATCCCTGAATATTGAAACCTTAAATTTAGCTTTATACTGTGGTTCGTCGAAGCACGGAAATGCCGAGCGTGCATATGTAGGTTCAAAATGAGTCGTAGCGAGATACCTAGAGGTGAAAAACATTCGGTTAACATTCCATACAAAATGAAAATGCGCCTTGAGCAATTCCCCAAACAGAAAATTATTACAGTTTCAGAGTGACCTCTTTTCTCCTTCCGGGGAAACGTAGCTGCTAAGATAAAATCCTTCGAGTTCACTCGTAAGTTTCGAAATAAACCTCAAATGCACCGTGTAATTCCCTCTTTTTCGAAATTTACTCTCTTCCAGTTCTAAATATAACTGTTGGTGTTTCGGGTATTCCAGTAGTTTTGCAATTTTTAATCTATGGCCTTTACGGTCTTGAACCATCTGCAAACCAATTGTTAGTAATTAAAATAACAGTAAAATTCTCTTTATCCACAAATATTTGAAAGAGTACTCACTTTCTCGTTTATTGTCAAATTTTTACTATGGAAGACAATATAGTTGGTCTCTTTATCGACATAGAATTCGATGGTGACCTGTCCTAAAAGTGGAAATTAAAAATTATTTTTCGGTAACTTCAAAACTGAGAGATAAATTATTCTAAAAAATAATTCTAAATTTAAAAGACGTAGGATTTATATTTCTTTTAAATTTTACCACACATTTATGATAGAAAAGGATTAGAAAAAGTTCCAATTTAAATTAGATTCTTTTTCATTGAAAAGATTAATATACTGGTTATTCTTACTAATAAAATAAAAACGTTTAACAAGGTATTATTTACCTTTTACTTCTAAGGTGGTAAGATTTGGATGTATGGTAATATTGTACCTAGTAGGATGCGCAAACATTGGTAGCCTCACGTTGTTCCAAGGAAACACCTGTAACGATTTCATTCAATTAACTTATTTTTAGACCGTTAATTGAGCATGCTGTTGCAACAGCGTGCGTTTCGAGTCTTCAATGCCAGAAATATACTTTCTATGGAACTAATAATAAAATATGAATGATCAACGGTAAAGCTGATGCTATAGATTACAGTGACGCCTAGCAATTGATTTCCCGCCAAGACGATTCGCAGTTCGTTCACAGTTTGTCGAGCCTAGGCTCAGATGTAAGCATTGAAAAGCGACACATATACAAATGCAAATGACGTACCTATTTATTTCATATTTCTATACGTTCTGATTTTCCATTTACATCGAGAAATAATCATTTAACAGTTATTTTCAAACATATGGAATACATATTCTACACGTTCTTAAGACTTTGCAGATATTGCAAGAGTAATACAATACGATATACTATAACATTGCAATACGACACAAGGTAATATCGTATAAAAATATAAACCAATATAGCAAAAATATGTAAAAACGTAAAGAAGTAATGCAACATGATACGATATACTTTATATATACCCCGAAAAGAAATGGGGACTATCCTTTTTAAATAGGATATTTAAATTTAAAGGAACGAGCTAAACATACAGAGGGTACAACGCCACGTTATCTAATCGCTATCCAAAGTTGCAGAGCACTCGAAGGCAATGTCGATATTTTCGATAACACGAGCCAATCTGTATTATTCATTGTACCATTGGAGAATTTCTACGAGTATATACGTCTCTCGATTACCCGTTCATTATGTCTAGAATATGTGTTACGATGTACATGTTTTGCTCCACTTCGACATTACGATCGTATAGCCAGCAAAGCAAACACAAATAACCATACCTCTCCATTAGTTGCAAGAGGCTCGCTGCTTTTTTCATCGTCCTCGTTTTCCAGGTTGGCTGGCTTTTCTCCAGCGCAAGGGCAGTCTATTAAAAAGAGAAGGGACATAAAAAGAGAAACGAAAAGGAGAAACCGATAATAAACACAGTGTGAGAGAGAGAGAGAAATAAAGCATCACGTGCACACACGGTGGTCCCGTTGATGCAGGTTTACGTTACCATTTTGTGGTCCCGCGAAGGCAATGATGAGTGATATGGCGAAAAGGATCGCAAAAACAACGGTAGCTACGCAGAGAGCCCTTTTTTGAGAACACACGATTCCATTGTGCTCGTAAATGCTACGTTTGTGCAATCCTGTGTTACTGTCTCCTGGAACAAAGGGTCTCCTGGAGAATGATCAAGCGTACATATGTATCCCCATTCCGGGAGTACGGGGATACGCGAGATTTGTTTTGACAACAGAGACTGGTCGCGTGAAAAATCGAAGGGAATGTAGGGCGAATGTTAGACGAAAATTGCACGAGTCGGTGAAATACATCGCGATGCCGAAGTTTGCAAACATGAAATGTCCACTAACGCGAGAAAAAAGTTTCCTGTCCTCGGTTACACACTTGACCTACATTTTTGACTGCTGAGCGACAGTGCACAGTGACGTTAATGCGGTTACTCCGAAACACGTGAATACCCGTGTGTATTTTATTACCGAATCTTACACCAGTATAACCTCGACCTGGTCGAGATTCAATCGGAACGAATTAGCGGAAGAAAAGACGAAGGAGAACGAAAAGAAGGACGATGTGACGGGAACCGTGCCTAGTTTCACGCGACGCACGCTCCAAACTCTCGCCATTCACATCTCCGTTTAAATCAGCGAATCTCGACACAAGGAAAACCTACCTTGCGAACATCCTTAGGAATCGGAGAATTTTACGATGGAAAATGCAGATATTTACACAACGAAGGAGCTCGGTGTACGCGCATTATGCTAGGACACGTCGCAAGGTAGAGGCAGAGTAGCAAACGATGCCAGACGTGTTTACGCACGTTGGAAGCGGCCATGCTCGTGACGATTAATAAAACGTTAATTAGCTAATCGGAGAAAGGGAAAGATAGGTGGACAGCTGGCGCGAGAAATAGCCGGGTTGCGTGTTTTAATTTGAAAGATCAGAAGCTTCTCCCTTATTGATCGCACGCACGTGCTCCTCGTATAGTCTATTCGTAGCCCGGAGGGTCGTAAGTGGGCCATCTGGTCGAACGATTGCAAAGGAAAAGGAGAGAACCGCGTGTGTAAAAAAGAGAGGGACAGAGCAAAGTAAGGAAAGGCGGCGGAGAGCAGTGGCGAGAGGGAAGGAGAGAGGAAGGTGAAGAGAGGATTGAAACGGAAGTGTGAAAAGAGATGGCAGATGACACGAGAGACGCGAGAGATGAAAGGGACGAGCAAGAGTGGTGAATAAAAATTGTCCAAACGCCTGTTCTGACATGTCTCACCTGTCAGAAAGGCAACGTCATCCACATCTTGTTCGCTCATCGTGAACCGATTCGGCGGCGGTCTCCGACGAACGATTTCTTTTACCTGACCGTCGTTCGTAGCATATAAGATTTTGATCAAGGGCTCTCTCTGTTCAGCCAGAATTCGGGCGGTCGTACTCGTGGCTTGCTGCTTCGCCTAGTATGTAGTTACTTTCGTTGATACACGTCGTCGGTTCGAGTGTCAAGGTCAAGGAATCACCGAGGAAGACTGGTAGATTTACCTACGTTCACTGGGGTTTGCGGTTACTTTAGGGCTCAACCTTCTTTCCTTGTCCTCGCTCCGTATATATATATGTGTGTATATATATATATATATATAGATATCTATATATTTTTCTCTTTCTCTCTTTCGCTTGTCGCGTGTAGTTCAAAGCGTAATCGGCAGAAGCGAGCTCGCTCGAGTAGGCTGACTCGCGATTCCTGAAGTACCGAGCACGAGCACGAGCACGAGCACGGGCACGGGCACGGGCACGAGCACAGGAAAGATCACGAACACAGGTGTGAACACGAGCACGAGCACGAGCACGAGCAGAAGCACGAGCGCGAGCACGAGTAGGAGCACGAGCACGAGTACAAGCAGCAGCCCGAGTACAAGCGCGACCAACGAGATCCCGAGGACCCGCGACAACGTGACGATGCTCGAGCTTACGAAGTCACCGAACAGCTCGACAACGTCGGCGAGTCTATAACGCGCGACGTGCCTTGACATTTCATTGGCATTAAAGCGTGAATATAGCGACTGCGGAGTTAGGCAGAAATGGCGACTTTCCAAACCCCTTGGTGGCGGATCGCTTTACGGGGGTGAATTTGCAGCTCTCGCCACGCCGCACCTCGCTTCGCCTACCGTTGCAGCGGGGGTGGCTGCTTGCCTTTACCGTGGCGCCATCCGTGATCCACCCCTCACAGCGGTTCCTACTTCACTCGCCTTCGTTTCCACGCTTGGGTTGGTAAGGACACTCTCTGCCATCTCTCCAACCGAGGCCTCGCTACTTTAAACTCCACGCAGTTTGCACCGTGGCTCGCGCCATTCTTTTCTTAATACCGCTGTCATTAACGTGGTTAAAGTGGTTAATGGCGAATCTTGTGTCAACGGATTTCGGTTAGTTATGTCTGTGTTATATAATTCCACTAGGGCGCGTTAAATTATGCTAATCCCTTCCGGTTCAATTACCGTAAATATCGTAAAAGACGAAATATCAGGATGAACTAAATTATGGCAAAGGGTAAAATGTTGTAATAAATTATTCGAATTTATTAATCGTAATGGTAGGCGATAAATTAAATTCCGTATTCATTTATTTCGCCAGTTTAATTTATCCGTTGGAAATTATTCGTTTAAGCTGAAGTATAAATATTAGGAAAGTCAAAATATGATAAATTGCTTGGGATATTGTAATAAATTAAATTATATATTCATTTATTTCACGATTTTCATTTATCAGTCGAAAATTATTTGTTTAAGTTATAATATCGTGAATATTATAAAAGTTAACCTCTCATTTGTCGAATCGATTACCTTCGCGAAATAGAAAACAGAAATAAATTTATTTTAAACGTAGGAAGTTAAACATCCATCAAGTGCTTTGGCGCTAAAATTTAAAAAAGGTTTAAAACGGAGATTTCTTTTACGTCGTAAAAAAATGCCACCGATTTTGTAACAGAAAAGCTTTAAATTCCTACCTTTCAATGGCAGAAAAATCCTTCAAGCGCGAAGGTATTAATATTCATAAAGTATTATAATAAATTTAATTGCAATAAAAATTAAGTATTACCATAAATTGAAGTATATAATAATAAAATAAAAATTATACATTAAATGATAATTTAATATCGAATAATAAACGAATATATTATGATAAATTATTATAATTTATCGACTGCAGTGATAAATAGTATGCCGAGTAAGAAATTAAATATATTTTATCAGTTTAATTCGTCACTTGCAAATTATAGCAATCGCAATAGTAACGATTTTTGCATATATGAAATTTTAAAAAAAATGTGTAAGAAAAGTGGAATAGTTATTCTTGTAATATATAATAATAAAATAAAAATGATATATTAAATAATAATTTAATATTGAATAATAAACGAATACATTATGATGAATTATTATAATTTATCGACTGCAGTGATAAATGGTATGATGATAACAAATTAAATATATTTTATCATTTTAATTCGTCACTTGCAAATTATAGCAATCGCAATAGTAACGATTTTTGCATATATGAAACGTAAAAAAACATGTGTAAGAAAAGTAGAATAGTTATTCTTGTAATATATAATAATGAAATAAAAATGATACATTAAATAATAATTTAATATTGAATAATAAACGAATATATTATGATGAATTATTATAATTTATCGACTGCGGTGATAAATGGTATGATGATAACAAATTAAATATATTTTATCATTTTAATTCGTCACTTGCAAATTATAGCAATCGCAATAGTAACGATTTTTGCATATATGAAATGTAAAAAAAAAAAAGTGTAAGAAAAGTGGAATGATTATTCTTGTACAAGATGAATTTTCGTTCTAGTTTACTGCCTACACAATTACTTTGCAAAGCTATTGAGCTGTATGAAGTATTGGCACTTGAACATTCAATACGGGGGTTGGTGTAGACGTGATACGTCCGAGAACTCTCGCTTTTGCATATGATAAAGGACGGTACACACAACCGTCATACATATGATATGAGTTTTCTATTGTCCTCGTTCAACGTCTAATGAGCTGGTTAAATTTTAATCCCGATATTCTAGCGAATACTAATCGTGTTCACATTTCGCACATTATTAATATCTAAACTTTAATATTATAATTCATAATTTAGTTTAGTAGATTATTGAAATTTTAGTCACGATGTTATTGTTCGTGTGGGGTATACTACATCGGTTATGCAATATTAATAATATTTATAATTTGTGTTTATCGTGATTTAGAATTTAGTTTAATAAAATACCGAAATTTCATAGAGTCCGAAAATTTTAATCACGAAATTTCTGTTCATCGTTAATTGTACTATATTGTTCACGCGATATTTTTACTATAACGTTTAATATCGTTATTTATTATTTAATTGATCAAAATACCGAAATTTAATAGAATACTAAAATTTTAATCACGAAATTTCTGTTCATCGTTAATTATACTATATTGTCCACGAGATATTTTTACTATAACGTTTAACATCGTTATTTATTGTTTAATTTATTAAAATAACAAAATTTGATAAAATACCAAAATTTTAATCACGAAATTTCTGTTCATAGTTAATTATACTATATTGTTCACGCGATAGTTTTACTATAACGTTTAATATCGTTATTTATTATTTAATTTATTAAAATAAAATTTGATAGAGTACCATAATTTTAATCCCGAAATTTCTATTCATCGTTAATTATACTATATTGTCCACGCGATAGTTTTACTATAACGTTTAATATCGTTATTCATTATTTAATTTATTAAAATAAAATTTGATAGAGTACCATAATTTTAATCCCGAAATTTCTATTCATCGTTAATTATACTATATTGTCCACGCGATATTTTTATTATAACGTTTAATATTCTTACTTATTATTCAATAGATTAAAATACTGAAATTTAATAGAGTACCAAAATTTGAACTATAATATTATTATTCATACTAAATGCGTTACATTGTTGACCCAATATTATTAGTACTTAACGTGCAAAATTATAATTCATTATTTAGTTTAGTATAATACTGAGGCTGTAATCGCGACATTATTGTTCATATTAACTGTATTATACAGTTTACGAAATATTACTAATATTTAATGCATAAAATTATG